CTTTTGACCCATGTCCTCCATCTTTTGATCCACATCCACCACCTTTTGATCCATATCCTCCAACTGTTGACCCATACTTTTCATCTTCTGATCCAAATTTTGACTCATGTCCTCCGTTATTTTTTTACCCATTTCCTCCAACTTTTGACCCATGCCCTCCATTATCTTTTGACCCATGTCCTCCACCTTTTGATCTATCTTTTTCTGCTCTGCTATAACCCTAGAAAGTTGTCTGGTTTCTTCTTGTAAGTGAGTTATTTTTTTGTCTGTATCCTCTTTGTCCTTAGCTAGAATGGCTTTCAATTCATTTATTTCGTTAGCATGAGTGGCTCTCAATTCATCCATTTCCTTTTTCCATGAGGCCTCTGCTTCTTTTAGTTTCTGACGGAGCTTTTCATTTTCTTCTTGCAGCTTCAGAATTTTCGATGTCATTATTGCACTTTGTTCTACAAAACAATTATATAATATAGTTACACACCTACAATACAGTATACCTTTCAGTCTTTCTTCATAATGTTGTTCTTGCTTCATTAGTTGAGCATCTTTCCTCATAGACTCCATTTTCTCTTGTTCTAAAGCATTTTCTGCCTCTTGCAGTTGGTCAGACATTGTTTTGTTTTTAGCTTCCAACTGATCGATGGTTTTTCTCAAAGGAAAGTATTTGGCAATAAAACCAGTCCAACCAGTTGATGTGTTTTGAGATTGGGACTCTTTGAAAGAAAATAATGTAAAATATTTTTGTGAATGATAGTCTATACTTTCTCTTAGCTGTTGCTCGAAGGCTTCTTTCAATTCCTTTATTTCAGAGTCTCTGGTTTGTAATTCTTCCTTAAGATTTTTAATTTGCTCGTCTCTCTCCCTTAGACCTACAAAAATAATGATTAATGATTTAATGTGAATATACATGATTACTTTGATCATTTTGCTTTTTAAGTTCCTGTAGCTTCATTTCTTCTTCAGTCATTTTTTGTGTTCTTTTCTTCTGTTCAGTACTACCATTAACTTCTTCTTGGTTTGGATCAGTTTCCCCTCTTAATCCAGCAACAGACCTGACAGTTTTTGAAACTTTTTGAATAAATGTGGTGGTCTTCATAGACACTTTAGTAACTTCAGTGTTTTGCTGGGTTTGTTCTTCCATTTCACGTCTTGTCACTTTGTTGTTAAATTTCTGCTGCTCTTTTTTAAGCTTCTCCTCTGACTCTTGAATCTGCTTTTTTACCTCTTCCTCCAATAATTGGACCTGCACAATTTGTGTGGCAATTAGACCATCGTGATCTGTGTAAGCTATACATATGCATATAAAATAACTTAACTAGAAACCTTTTTTCATTTGTTTTATCTCATCCTCATTCTTCTCCATTGTATCTTTTGTGTCTTTGATAATATCTTCTAGTTCTATTTAAGTCGAGATTTAAGTACATATGTCATATATACATAAATTATGTATATAATATAACATATTGTTTTTACTTTTTATTTCGCTTTCATCACATTCATCCTTTGGTTTCAGGGCCTCTTTGGCATGCTGAAGCTTCTTTTCATACTGCTTCAGAGCTTCCAACTCCTTTTTGACATTTTGCTGCTCTTCACTAGCCTGTTTTTTGCTCATGATTAGATGGGTGGGGATATGTTTTGACCTGAATGCCGTGAATATGGACCTTAAGCAATTCTAATTAACGCTCCACAGAGTCAGAGTGCCACAGACCACAGAAATGGTGGTAAAATGGCGGAAGACAGGCTGAACAATCTTCTCTTTTATCCAGCCATTCTAGCTCTGAGAACCACTTTGAGCTGTCCTTTTGTTTCAGTATACTCTATTTATCTATTCTGTAAGCTCTTTGGTTGCTGTTTTGGCTTATATAGCATTTTATCATAGGAATATTATATTCTCACCCATTGGCAACTGCCGTTTTTCTAAGTTTTGCTTTCAGGAGCCAGGGGCGCTTGCCCCTCCATTGCCATGAAGACAGAAGTGCATTCAGCTGAGTCCTATGACTAGTGTCTACCATCAGACTTAGTCACAGCATAGATAGTAGAGGTCTCGGTCCATTAGAACCAGGTACGGTGGAATAACTCACTCAGCTGTCATGTTGCAGCTGGGGTGTGGATGATTATCTATGACCATCTTTTCCAGTGGCGGATCTATGGGGGGGCCAGGGGGGGCAATGTCCCCCCAAAAATTTTCTGGAGTAATATAAACTTTGGTTTACCTGTGTAAACTGTGA